AATTATCTTTAAAAAATATATATTTCCACATCGTTGACTTTTTAAAAGGTAAATCCCAGTATTTATAAGCATTGCCCTGTTCTCTGGGCACAGTATTGTAAAGTATTGTCCTGTTCTCTGGGCACAGTATTGTAAAGTATTGTCCTGTTCTCTGGGCACAGTATTGTAAAGTATTGTCCTGTTCTCTGGGCACAGTATTGTAAAGTATTGCCCTGTTCTCTGGGCACAGTATTGTAAAGTATTGTCCTGTTCTCTGGGCACAGTATTGTAAAGTATTGCCCTGTTCTCTGGGCACAGTATTGTAAAGTATTGTCCTGTTCTCTGGGCACAGTATTGTAAAGTATTGTCCTGTTCTCTGGGCACAGTATTGTAAAGTATTGCCCTGTTCTCTGGGCACAGTATTGTAAAGTATTGCCCTGTTCTCTGGGCACAGTATTGTAAAGTATTGCCCTGTTCTCTGGGCACAGTATTGTAAAGTATTGTCCTGTTCTCTGGGCACAGTATTGTAAAGTATTGTCCTGTTCTCTGGGCACAGTATTGTAAAGTATTGTCCTGTTCTCTGGGCACAGTATTGTAAAGTATTGCCCTGTTCTCTGGGCACAGTATTGTAAAGTATTGCCCTGTTCTCTGGGCACAGTATTGTAAAGTATTGTCCTGTTCTCTGGGCACAGTATTGTAAAGTATTGCCCTGTTCTCTGGGCACAGTATTGTAAAGTATTGCCCTGTTCTCTGGGCACAGTATTGTAAAGTATTGCCCTGTTCTCTGGGCACAGTATTGTAAAGTATTGCCCTGTTCTCTGGGCACAGTATTGTAAAGTATTGCCCTGTTCTCTGGGCACAGTATTGTAAAGTATTGCCCTGTTCTCTGGCACCATTAAAGTTATAAACAGCTGTTTTTTTTTAAACTGGGATTTTCTGCCTTAGCTTAAAATCTTTTGACTTATACTTTGTCAAAACCGTGTTTACACAAAACTTCTCTTGAAATTAGGGATGTAAATCGGTGACCGGTTAACCGGTGGTTGACCGTCACAGCGTTAACCGGTCAAAGCTGTCGGTTAAAAAAGAGAAAAGGGGGAGAGGGGAGGTCTCTTAATAACGCTATTTTAAGCCCTATTTGCACGATGTGACGAGCGGGTCCCTATCTAGCTGTGTGCGCCAATGTATTATAAACTCTGGGCCGACTCACGCGCCACATGTACACGCGCCACACACACACACGCGCCACACACACACACGCGCCACACACACACACGCGCCACACACGCGCCACACACGCGCCACACACGCGCCACACACACACACGCGCCACACACACCACACACACACACACACACACACACACACACCTGAACCCAGTCCACATGGGGACCTAACCCCCCCCCTCCATTGACACGTAACATCCACACGCATCATCTCTCCCCTCTGTTACCGTCTGTTAGTTGCACACTGGTGCGGGTCAGAACTACATTGGAGCTTATATTTACACACACATACATACATGTATTGTACACACACACATAGCTTACATATACACACACACAGACATATACACACATACATACATGTATTGTACACACACACATACATATACACACACACAGACATATACACACATACATACATGTATTGTACACACACACATACCGGTCTGTCGCGCTCCTCTGTGTCACGGAGCCCAAAGCATTCTTGCAAATACACGGCTCCAGTCAAACCACATGGACCATGTGTGTGCTGCTGGTCCTTGGCATCAGCTCCACACACATGGACCATGTTTGTGCTGCTGGTCCTTGGCATCAGCTCCACACACATGGACCATGTTTGTGCTGCTGGTCCTTGGCATCAGCTCCACACACATGGACCATGTTTGTGCTGCTGGTCCTTGGCATCAGCTCCACACACATGGACCATGTTTGTGCTGCTGGTCCTTGGCATCAGCTCCACACACATGGACCATGTTTGTGCTGCTGGTCCTTGGCATCAGCTCCACACACATGGACCATGTTTGTGCTGCTGGTCCTTGGCATCAGCTCCACACACATGGACCATGTTTGTGCTGCTGGTCCTTGGCATCAGCTCCACACACATGGACCATGTGTGTGCTGCTGGTCCTTGGCATCAGCTCCACACACATGGACCATGTTTGTGCTGCTGGTCCTTGGCATCAGCTCCACACACATGGACCATGTTTGTGCTGCTGGTCCTTGGCATCAGCTCCACACTGATCACTTTTAAACTTTAGCGGAGACCTGCGAGACGCGGCTCGTCACTCGCTGCCCTGACCATGTGGACGAACTGTCTTTTGCTTAAAAATGCTTTAAGCCGCAGCACAGCAGAATGGGAAGATTAAAAAAGCAGTTCTCTGTGCGCAAAGGTGCCGGAGCTGTTGCGGGTTTTGGTGCCGCTGTCTCGGCTCTGATCCAGTAGAACGCTCAGCTGCACTTATGAAAAGTACGCAGCTCGAAATGGCTGTTATTTCAAAGAACGTGGACTATTTTAAACTACGCGGTTAACCGGTTTCAACCGGTTAATGAGGCTCGGTGGTCGGTTATGAAAATTCATAGTTTTTTACATCCCTACTTGAAATATATTAAAAACCTGTATTATCATGAGTTTTTCTTACAAAGTGATGCAGTGGAATCTAAGGCGGTGAGTTTGAAGGTTACCGTTGGGGAAGGAGCCGATGGCGGCCGTGGGGACTCCTGCGTAGATCCTCCTGAAGCCTCCAGCTCTGGAGAAGCCTCTTTGACTCTGGAGCCGAGTTTTAATGGTGTCCAGTGGGTACAGGATCAGATCCACACTCATCCCAGCGCAGCCGCCCGCCTGAAACCAACCACAATATACAAATGTTGATCCGTCTCTGCAACTTCATCACGGTCACTAAACAGACCCAATATTGAGTCTAAATGATGTGTTATATTTAAACTGGACAAAAGCTTCTCTGGAAATATTAAAACAATTATAAAATCATAGTTAGTTGGTGCCACATCACAGCAGGCACCAACCAGCTGCTCATCCCCCCCACTGAGCCAGGCTTCTCCCATCAGGCTTCTCCCATCAGGCTTCTCCCATCAGGCTTCTCCCATCAGGCTTCTCCCATCAGGCTTCTCCCATCAGGCTTCTCCCATCAGGCTGACATTACAGAGCCTGGAAGAGCCTGGAAGAGCCTGGAAAAGCCTGGAAGAGCCTGGAAGAGCCTGGGAGAGCCTGGAAGAACCTGGAAGAACCTGGAAGAACCTGGAAGAACCTGGAAGAACCTGGAAGAACCTGGAAGAACCTGGAAGAACTTGGAAGAACTTGGAAGAACCTGGAAGAACCTGGAAGAACTTGGAAGAACCTGGAAGAACCTGGAAGAACTTGGAAGAACCTGGAAGAACCTGGAAGAACCTGGAAGAACCTGGAGGAGCCTGGAAGAACCTGGAGGAGCCTGGAAGAACCTGGAAGAGCCTGGAAGAACCTGGAGGAGCCTGGAAGAACCTGGAAGAGCCTGGAAAAGCCTGGAAGAGCCTGGAAGAGCCTGGGAGAGCCTGGAAGAGCCTGGAAAAGCCTGGAAGAGCCTGGAAGAGCCTGGGAGAGCCTGGAAGAACCTGGAAGAACCTGGAAGAACCTGGAAGAACCTGGAAGAACCTGGAAGAACCTGGAAGAACTTGGAAGAACTTGGAAGAACCTGGAAGAACCTGGAAGAACTTGGAAGAACCTGGAAGAACCTGGAAGAACTTGGAAGAACTGGAAGAACCTGGAAGAACCTGGAAGAACCTGGAAGAACCTGGAGGAGCCTGGAAGAACCTGGAGGAGCCTGGAAGAACCTGGAAGAGCCTGGAAGAACCTGGAGGAGCCTGGAAGAACCTGGAAGAGCCTGGAAAAGCCTGGAAGAGCCTGGAAGAGCCTGGGAGAGCCTGGAAGAGCCTGGAAAAGCCTGGAAGAGCCTGGAAGAGCCTGGGAGAGCCTGGAAGAACCTGGAAGAACCTGGAAGAACCTGGAAGAACCTGGAAGAACCTGGAAGAACCTGGAAGAACTTGGAAGAACTTGGAAGAACCTGGAAGAACCTGGAAGAACTTGGAAGAACCTGGAAGAACCTGGAAGAACTTGGAAGAACCTGGAAGAACCTGGAAGAACCTGGAAGAACCTGGAGAGGAGCCTGGAAGAACCTGGAGGAGCCTGGAAGAACCTGGAAGAGCCTGGAAGAACCTGGAGGAGCCTGGAAGAACCTGGAAGAGCCTGGAAGAGCCTGGAAGAACTTGGAGGAGCCTGGAAGAACTTGGAGGAGCCTGGAAGAACCTGGAAGAACCTGGAGGAGCCTGGAAGAGCCTGGAAGAACCTGGAAGAGCCTGGAAGAACTTGGAAGAACCTGGAAGAACTTGGAAGAACTTGGAAGAACCTGGAAGAACCTGGAAGAACTTGGAAGAACCTGGAAGAACCTGGAAGAACTTGGAAGAACCTGGAAGAACCTGAAAGAACCTGGAAGAACCTGGAAGAACCTGGAGGAGCCTGGAAGAACCTGGAGGAGCCTGGAAGAACCTGGAAGAGCCTGGAAGAACCTGGAGGAGCCTGGAAGAACCTGGAAGAGCCTGGAAGAGCCTGGAAGAACTTGGAGGAGCCTGGAAGAACTTGGAAGAACCTGGAGGAGCCTGGAAGAGCCTGGAAGAACCTGGAAGAGCCTGGAAGAACTTGGAAGAACCTGGAAGAACCTGGAAGAACCTGGAAGAACCTGGAGGAGCCTGGAAGAACCTGGAGGAGCCTGGAAGAACCTGGAAGAGCCTGGAAGAACCTGGAAGAACTTGGAGGAGCCTGGAAGAACCTGGAAGAACCTGGAAGAACCTGGAGGAGCCTGGAAGAGCCTGGAAGAACCTGGAGGAGCCTGGAGGAGCCTGGAAGAGCCTGGGAGAACCTGGAAGAACCTGGAAGAACCTGGAAGAACCTGGAAGAACCTGGAAGAACCTGGAAGAACCTGGAAGAGCTTAAGAAAAAGTATATAATAAATGTGTTGCACTTCGTGGAAGCCAGAAGCCGGAGTGAAGTTACAGAGCGGAGGCACTAGGGGGCGCCAGCGCAGCTCAACATTCAGAGTAGAAGCACTTTGGCTGAAAACACAGTTACTCACAGGGTAAATAAATACTCACACAATGGAACCTACTCCTATTATAAGTTCAGTCCTTGTCCCAAAAATACCATGTACATTACAATATTCGAGAACATATTGAAGCTATTTAAAGGCGGAACTTCAAAGATGTGAGTAAGAATAAAGTCATAGCAGACAGTTCCGATGGTTTACCACATGGTTTACCATCAAGGAGGCGGTGAACTGACGTCTGTCCATGGTCCGGGCTCAGGTCCGGGCTCAGGTCCGGGCTCAGGTCCGGGCTCAGGTCCGGGCTCAGGTCCGGGCTCAGGTCCGGGCTCAGGTCCGGGCTCAGGTCCGGGCTCAGGTCCGGGCTCAGGTCCGGGCTCAGGTCCGGGCTCAGGTCCGGGCTCAGGTCCGGGCTCAGGTCCGGGCTCAGGTCCGGGCTCAGGTCCAGGCTCAGGTTCGGGCTCAGGTTCGGGCTCAGGTCCGGGCTCAGGTCCGGGCTCAGGTCCAGGCTCAGGTCCAGGCTCAGGTTCGGGCTCAGGTTCGGGCTCAGGCAGCGGTTCTCCTCTCTCTCCACATGTGTTACTGTGGAGCAGTCGCAGGACACAGACAACCGGCTAACAACAAAACATGTTTCACAAGGGCGCCGCCATCTTGGTCCAGGCTCAGGGTTGCCAGATTGGGAGTTATTTTTTTACGCGCTTCGCCATTAAATTTACAAATTATTGTTTCTAATTGACTGTTGCTTGGTGCGTGATACAGATTTACAGTCTATGGAAACAGCTGCGGTGATTTCACTTAAATCTGGCAAATGTACAACGCAATGAATAAAACAAAGTCAATTTAAGAATGAACTGCCTTCATTTTAGGCAGTTGATGAGGACTTATTATTATTATTATTATTATTATTATTATTGTTATTATTATCATTATTAATATTATTATTGTTATTATTATTATTATTATTGCTATTATTATTGTTATTAATATTATATTTATTATTATTATTGTTATTATTATTATTATTATTATTATACTTCTCTTTCTTGTGAATAATTTCCTGGAGCTCCCAAAAAAAGACTACAACTCCCAGAGCCGTCATTTTGACTGCTCACATTCAAATCAATGGAATATCCACAAAAATGTTTGTTTTTCCACCAGATGTATTAAAAGAAATGTATAAAACCGGTTAACATACAACAAATACAGTTTGTTGAAACTGCTGACTGCTATCAAGTAAACAGTGTGTTGCTATGATAAGACTCTTCAGGAAAACCAAACCAGGACCAGTCAGAACCAGCACCTTGAAAAAATATGTTTTGTTAAAAGGTAGGAAAAAAATAGGTAATTTCATGAAAAAATAGTGAATAGATGTAAACTACTGCACATATAGAAACAGAAAAAGTCCCAACGTTATTGTAACCCTAGTTCTGCGATGGCGGACCATGGTCCAGGTTCATGGTCCGGGGCCAGCAGTGCGGACAGGGGAACCAGGAGTCAATGGTGGAAGAGGTTGACCTTCCTTATTTATTGCCTCCATTAAAACAAAAGACGGCCTCATTAACAAGAAATTGTGACTGTTTTTATAGTAATAATTTGTACATTCAAAGGCTATTGTAGAGTCCACACAAGTGCAAAACGGAATATAAAGTTGTTTATCCCACTGAAGTTTAACAGAGAAACAGCCTAAATGTACAATGACAAAATGCTAAATCACAATCAATATTTGGCACCAAACATACACCAACATTTATACACAAATAAACTTATTTTATACTCGGGAGTTACCTTTATTAAAACAAAAGAGAACTGCAGCGGTGTGACGTAGGGGCCACACCGCCGGCGTGCGAAGTAACGCGTTGCTTGCGTTCGTCAACAGAGTGGGGCGATGACGCAAGAGTGGCCACACCAGCAGCAGCAGCAGCAGCGTTGTACCGCCCCACAAAGGAGAACAGGCTTCCTTTCAAATCAATGCACATTTATGAAATATGGCATATCTAATTTATATAATATCACAACGCTCGCTTTCGTCCTGTATTAACATTGTTTGAGTGACTATTGAACGGTGATTTATTAACTAAATGTAATTACAACACAGTTCGGGAAAGTTGTTTACTGTTGTCATGGAAATCCACCTTTTGTACAGATGCAACATTGACCATGCGTACTATCAACATAGACTGTGTAAAAAGTCTCAAAAGGTGTGCAGTGTCCTAATGCTGGATATGAATGTCTTGGCCTTGTATGTATTCATAATGTTCCAAGTAACCCTGAATCTGTTGCGTTAGGACCTCCCAATCCTTCCCTACACAAATTTGCATATGTTCACACCGAAGTTGCTTTGGGGGATGTTGAGTCTTTTGGTCCTTGTAGTATCGGTTTTGAGGACTGTATAGCTCGGGGCATCGCTCTACAGCCTCGATAAGTTGCTCTTCCATCTTCTCGTCTTTCTTCTCTGAACAGGTTAGTTACGTCACTACCTCTAACGACGGGGTCACGCACAGGTCGAAGTGAATCCCTGATAATAAACTAACACTTTATATTTCATAAATGTTATCGAAACTGTTTATGTGCAAGTAGCGAACATTTTCAATGTTCCCTATTTCCCAAAAGAATAAATTCACAAACAATATTGAAAAGACGTTTACTCACTATTAAATATAGGCCATAGACAATATATTGTGGGGGGTGGGAGTTGGGGGTGTAAATGAATGTTCTTTTTTAAATGCATTTTTAATCTGTAAAGCACTTTGAATGTTATGTTGTAGCCCAGCCATTCCCAAACTCAGTAACACCGAGGCCCCCTTAAAAATCTGACGGGTCTGCGTGGCCCCCCAAAATAATAACCAAGAAGACAACATTAAGAATAGGCTCTTCTGGTTATTTTATTTTGGGGAAATAGCCTCTGCTACAAACATTGTAATACAAAAATGATTACAGTGGATTATTCAAGTCAAATAATGAACACAAATATTTTAATATTACAAACAAAACATTATAAATTTAACATAAAATAATTATATTATTTTTTTATTTTTTTTATGACCTCCCGCGGCCCCCCTGCAGTACCCTCGCGGCCCACCAGGGGGCCGCGGACCCCACTTTGGGAGACACTGTTGTAGCCTATGAAAAGCGTTTTATAAATAAATTAATACAAATATTTATATCAATGAAGTTTTATTGATATTGTCTAAAATGTCATTCTCCTGCTAGCTGTTTAGTTTAGACTACGAACAAAGTTATATGCCCATGTATATGTCAGAATTATAATATTTCATCAATTTTAGAAGTCTTTCCTTCGGGACACTAGACGAGCGCTTGACGCACGCCCCCAAAAATAGGATTGATTCTATCTTCTCAACGCGTGGCGCCACTAGCGCGCTGTGCCTCGCGCGTGGTATGCGCGGACAGTGTGGCCACTTCCAATCCGCTTCAATTAGAGCTAAGTAAAAAATCAACGGTTGCCAGCTACGCAGCGCTTCGCACGCAGGCGGTGTGGCCCCGGCCTGAAGCTGCGGAGGTTAGAGGGCGCCCTCTGGTGGCGCACGGACACATTACACCCTTACATTGTGAAGACCAAAAAGCTGAGTTATGGAGATCTGTCTTGATACAAGGCAACACACGTTTATTTGTATAGCACAGTTCAAACACAAGGAAATTCAAAATGCTGAAATATGAAACATTTATGGTCAACTCATAATCTGTAAATTGTCTTTAATTGGGTATATTGTGTGGTTCTGGTTGGTCAATGGGCATCTTACTAAATTAAACTAAACTAAACTTCACCAAAAGAATGCAGCGAAATAAAATCATACACAAAATAATGTTTTTAAGATAAGATAAATTAAAGTAGAAAGGTATTTAATTTTCTTAAAGTAAAGCCAACGAGAGTTTCATAGGGAGGGAGCATGTATAGAGAAGGCTCCGTCACCTTTAATGAATTATTATACAACAATGACAATTCTTCAAAAAGTGATTTTTATGTATTTGAAAAAGCTTCTCCTACTTCTCTCTCTTCTGCTGTTTTTTTCTCCCATTCGTAATCTACAGTATATACAGTATATATCTACCATCCAGTCATCACACCTAAATGCAGAATACACTCTACTGTATCCACTGTCACGCCAATCAGACACAATCAGACACAATCAGACACAATCAGACACAATCAGACACAATCAGACACAATCAGACACAATCAGATACAATCAGACACAACCAGACGCAACCAGACACAACCAGACACAACCAGACACAACCAGACACAATCAGACACAATCAGACACAATCAGACACAACCAGACACAACCAGACACAATCAGACACAACCAGACACAACCAGACACAATCAGACACAACCAGACACAATCAGACACAATCAGACACAATCAGACACAACCAGACACAACCAGACACAACCAGACACAACCAGACACAACCAGACACAACCAGACACAATCAGACACAACCAGACACAACCAGACACAATCAGACACAATCAGACACAATCAGATACAATCAGACACAATCAGACACAATCAGATACAATCAGACACAATCAGACACAACCAGACACAACCAGACACAACCAGACACAACCAGACACAATCAGACACAATCAGACACAACCAGACACAACCAGACACAATCAGACACAACCAGACACAACCAGACACAACCAGACACAATCAGACACAATCAGACACAACCAGACACAACCAGACACAACCAGACACAACCAGACACAATCAGATACAATCAGACACAACCAGACACAACCAGACACAACCAGACACAACCAGACACAACCAGACACAATCAGACACAACCAGACACAACAAGACACAATCAGACACAATCAGACACAATCAGATACAATCAGACACAATCAGACACAACCAGACACAACCAGACACAACCAGACACAATCAGACACAACCAGACACAATCAGACACAATCAGATACAATCAGACACAATCAGATACAATCAGACACAATCAGACACAACCAGACACAACCAGACACAACCAGACACAACCAGACACAATCAGACACAATCAGACACAATCAGACACAATCAGATACAATCAGACACAATCAGACACAATCAGACACAACCAGACACAACCAAACACAACCAGACACAATCAGAAACAACCAGACACAATCAGACACAATCAGACACAATCAGATACAATCAGACACAATCAGACACAATCAGACACAATCAGACACAATCAGACACAATCAGACACAATCAGACACAATCAGATACAATCAGATACAATCAGACACAATCAGACACAACCAGGTGAAGGAAGAAGGCAGTTATCAAAGTCATAAAAACGCACAGTCAATAATACACCGCGCTCTGGAGCTGTAGGATAACGCTCCGTCCAATAACTTCCTCTTTCCTCTTTATGGACCAGTAGTTTTTCTCTTCAGTTCCTCCTGGAGCAGTTTGGATCGATGCTTCATGTGTCCATCAGGATGAGCACATGTCTCCTCTCTGCAAAAACATGTCCACATCATGGATCTATTTCATTGATCAGACGGATCCAGAGAGGCTGAGCACGGACACGCCAAGCACCGTCTGTGGGGCCAACATGGAAGTGCACTGTAAACCCTGACAATAAAGTTTACTTGAAAAAACCATGGAAATAAATCACTTGAATTCCTCGAGTGCATCGTTTACTTGATATTACCAAGTAAACTTATTATTATTATTATTATACAGCTCAATTACGTTTGAGAATTGCCTTTTTAGAAATAGTGATTTATTTATATTTTTGTTTGAATATTTAAATCATTATTGTTACATTGCGTGGGGAAATACAGATCTGTTAGTCTTACACCTTTCCTAACTTTCTCAGTAATATGCAAAAATGTGAGGATTATATTTCCCCGCCTCAGTCTGAGTCTGTGTCTGTAATAAAGTTTAAATTTCTGCTTGTGCTCTGACCGGGATTCGAACTCAGAACCTGTAGTTGAGAGGCAATGGTGCTAACCACTCAGTCACCAGGCCACCCTGTCATTGTCACACCTGCCTCAGTAAAGACTCTACACATCAAAATGTCAAAGGTGAGGCTTACTTGAACAGAAACAGTTCAATTCAAAGAAAACCCTGAGTGACATAGGCAAGCTTTAAATAAACTAACAATAAATGAGTAATATCTACTTACTGGGAAAAATCTATTTAAAATAACTTTGATATCTGAAGTAGGATTGAAGTTAGGGTTTACAGTGTGCCCAGTGACATTTTCTGGATGAATAATACACCATTTGTCTTTGCTTTGGAGAGTGGACAAAGAGGAAAAGCTTCGCAAAGTATGTGGCAAACTGTAAGAACATGTATAGAAACAATGCACATTTAACATTTATACTGAGAATTCACTGCTGCTCTTCTGTCTCTGTCCGCTCTCACTCGTTTCTGGCAAATTAAAACAAAAACAACTATTACGGGTCGTTAAACTAATTTAGAAATTCAAATATCTCTGAATTACTGTTAAAGAAGTGAAGGGAAAAGAGTTTGATTAAATAATGCCTTTTGAAATATTGGGGCCATTTTACGATGACTTGACATCCACATGTTACATATTTCTACTTTAATGTATGATATTCTCTTATTTTTGAGTTATTGTGTGTCTTGTGTTTGACGGGACCAAACCGTGTATTGTTGGATTCATACATTTGTCTGTGAATGTTTTATCCCAGTAACCTTTAACGTATTATAATAATTGTGGAGTAACTTGAGTGTTCATCTGTGGTGTAAGAGCGACATCTAGTGGTCATAGTGTGATATATGAAATACTCCTTTGAACGGAGCCAAAGCAACGCGCCGCGTGGATCAACACATTTATAGTTTGTTTTTACTTATATCTAAAGACAAAGGTATTATAGATTTTAAGGATTCAAGCTACACGTTGTGGAGAAACTTCACTGGTTTATTTTACGTCGTCCCGAACCTTTCAACAAGTAAAAGTATCTTCCGTACTTCCGGTTTATTTATAAAGCACTAATAAAAACAACATGGTTGACCAAAGTGCTGTACATTAAAACACATACACAAATATACAAATACAAAACCGTTTATGGATTAATCCTGAAGTTTTGCCTTGAACTAGACTTAATCTGAAATACACAAAAACTGAACTCTGGCCCCAGTTTTAAGCAGTGGTCAAATAACTTAGTACAGGGGAGGGAGGGTAATCTGACCAAAGGCGTGATATTTAAAAAGAAAAACAACCGAATTAGCTAATTTAGGTTTTATTGTAAACTACAGTAATTTATTCCTGTTTATAAGCTTGAAATAAATAAATAAATACAACAGTTTTGACATTTGAACGTTCCTCAACAGTTGCCTGTAACGGGCCCAGATGTGTGATGCTTATAACCACCAGCAGGGGGAGCACTCTACCAATTTTCTAAATGATACAG